TTATGAGTCCACCCAGTAAATTTTCTTTCACCAGTCGCATACTCCTGCCAAAAAGAAAGCTAAATATCGGTTAATACATTGCCGGCAAAAAACCCTGACAGACGCATTTACAACAAAATATAATTATCCTTCGTTATGCAGGTGCCCATATTTCACCATATTATGTCGATTGGACACGATAAAATCAACATAACAATATTTTATGTCCTCCAACCAACTACTTGACGTGAATAAGAAATCAAAAGTTTCATTTTAGCTACATTTGTATTGAGGTCATTTCTAATATAAACATTGTTTGACAGAGGCAACAAAGCCCTGCAGATTGAAAGGTGTTGCGATGAAGTTATTCACCAATTGAAAATTAAAGGTAAAAGCTGTAACAAACAAACTTTAAGTCGAAGTCTCTTCTTAAAACTCACCTTCCTGACTCTTTCTCCCTTTCTCCCCAACAGAGGTATCCTCTTCCCCGAAGACGAGCCATGTTTCGTTTTAGACATAAATTGATGTATAACACCTTCTCGGCTAGATTAAAACCCGAGTAGAGAATTTAATCCATAGCGCTCTCCTCGCCGCTGTTTTCATTGTTTACATCCATCTCAGGATACTTTACTACTGCTAAGTCATAGTTTCGTCATAACAAAGATGGCGGATTTCAATTTAAAAATGTCAGTTTTTGGCACGTAATTGTTCGGAACTAAAACGCTTTTACTTCAAATGAATAGCCAGGTAGGACAATGCGAGTAAGGTAATTTTCATATAAGTAAACTTTTTCTAGACCGTACTTTCCATTTAAAGGGAAGCGTGCGGTCTCTCGCCCACCGTTTTGTTAATAAGGACACTACAGTGCAATATATTTTGACACAGGTCGTGCCCAGGCTGATTGTAAACTCAACTTCCTTGTCTACTCCTTCTCCAGCCGGAACCCGTGATCAACAGAATTCTGATGTATAGGAATTATGGACTTCTTATGCTTATTAGTGTACTCACATTTTTCCTTTAATGTCAGCCACATTTTCCGGAAGTAGGTAAGTATCTTTTCTTTCTTGTGATGAATGACATAACCTTCTTCAACTAAAGAAAATCCTCACGTAGTCAAGTTAGGTGCTGAAATAAATAAGGGAAATTAAATATCTGCTCATGATAAATGTGTTCTTATGATGTGAAGATTGTAGCTGTGTTGCTGAAGAAATCGATTAGCATAAAATCATCTTAAAATTTGAAGTGAGGTGATCAGATTTTCTAAATTGTTTAAATAATATCCGTTCAACATATACTCACCACCAGTTTTAATATATCAACACATTTCTTTAACAGTTCATCTCTCGGTATTTGTTTTGATACTACTGAGCAATAATTTTGAACTATTACAATGTGATGATATATTTTATACCTACGAAAGTTTTATTTTTGTAGTACGCAGCATGCATCAAAAATATTATTTGTCTTTAATTCTTAACAATGAAATATAAAAGCTTTCATTAGCCTTAAATTTTGACAGTATTTTTCGATTGGTTTGATTCACATTTCATTTTCCATTTTTTGGTGAAGGAAGCCGACAGGAGTGTTGTAAGTTTTCTAGTCGTGTAAACGTTGATGCGTGATCATTGTACTGCTTTATTTACATTAATTTGACCACTGCATGGTGACATTGTGATAACAGCTTTCTTGTTACTAGCTTTATAATTTTGTCTAAGTTGTAAAAGTAAGTGATCTGCATGCTGCTTTTCACAAATTTTAAGCACCTATAAATTGTTTGGAATAATCCCTTGACAAGAAATAATAAACCCTGTAGTCGGTAGAAGAATTATGACAAAATTGTGTTGCCTGCGAACGTGTGGGATCTCAAAAGGAGGACATTTGTGTCATGCATGTATCAGCCCAAAATGGAATGTAACTTTGAGAGTGTTTCCTCTTTAAATAAATTCAAGGCTAACGAAAGAGTCGCTGAGACTAATTCAGCTGAATTACTAAATTTCATTGCATTTCACACATTATGATGAAAAATATGCATTATGCTGGTATATTATTATGAAAAGTTAAAGTCCTTAAAAAAAAAAAAAAAGAATCATTATAAAGCATCATTCACCATCAGTGTGATTGATTTTGATTGATAAACATATTTCACGATAAATTTAGGAATTGATAAATCAATAAATGAATGAACTATTTAGTTCATTCTGTGTTCACAAATTTTAAGCGCAATTTGGTGCTAATAAGCACACGTAAATTTTTCAAAGACAACAGAAATGCATGAGGCGGTAGGGCGAGAGCAACTTGTAGTCTTTGAAAAATTTGTAAGTGCATTTTCAAACCAAATTGCATAAGAAAACGTGTCGTTACTTATTAATAATTTGCATTTAAAAGAGTATCACAGAGAGACGACAGCAACATTTTGACAGAGCCCGTGTTTAACAACTTTGCACTCGATCATGTTACAACTTTGCACTCGATCATGTTACAACATTGCACTCGATCATGTTACAACTTTGCAATCTGTTTCACAAAAAATGCACCAGTTTTCAGTAAATCAGATGCGCATAATTTTTTCATGTATATTTAATTAATCCTAGCAAAAACTCAGTGTTCAAACTTTATGAATTTCATATATTCGTTGTGTTTGATTTATCATCTTACGGATTTACGTCGGACTAGTTTGATGACCTGCTCCCAGTTGGCTTGTTAGCTCAATTGGTAGAGCGCTGCACTAGTATCGCATAGGTCAGTGGTTCGAATCCCGTACAGGCCTGATTTTTTTAGGTCCGATTTTCACTATTGCTTAAATAGTGCTCTCTACAGCGAGGATCGGGCACATATACGTTTCTATTACCGCAGTTCACATACATGAATTTCACATATTCGTTGTTTTTATGAAACATATATGATAGTATCATTCAAAATATAGTATATTGTTAACTTGCTTCTCTTTGCCATAAGTGGTTGCTTGTGTGTAACTAATGCACGAGAAATTATCCAACTCAATAAATGCCTTGTTTGTAGTTTTTTTTTTCCTTTTTCCTTCTTTTTTTCAGTCTAAATTCTTCTTCCAAGGATATGTTAGATATCTTCAGAGTAAACGCACATGTGCGGACGTTTAAATGTGACGATGTTCTAGGCGTCCAAACTGGACTTTCGCGGAAGGCACAACAATAACGGGTAGAACTAAGTTAATAGAGAGGACTTAGCAGCGAGATCAGGAACTCGTCACGATTCCCTGGTACATGCAATCTCTTCAAGCGAGCTTTCATGGATTGCATTTTTAATAGCAGAGGTGTGCCAAGCCTCCAGAGTTTTTCTTTACGAAAAGAGCCTTTGTCGATAACTCGAGAATGATTGAAATCAATGTGGACAATAACTCTAAGCCGATCCCTAATCATCTAATCAGTATAGCATTCTTTTTAGACAATAACCGCCCTTTCCATATTTTTACTTTGTTCTTCTTATCACTTTTATCTCGCTTTTTTGTATATATTTTACTAATTTACATTTTATGTTTTATCCGTGGAAGGCTGTAGATCGACAACCGAAAGCTTATGTTTTCTAAAACTTTTTGCCAGAGAACGTTTCCACTGTATTTTAATACGTTTCTTCCAGGCAGCGCTTTAATTTTCATCCATTTTAGGGTAGTCCATTTGGATACTCAATCTGGGTAGTCCATGGACTGGGCGTCGATCTTTTGCTCATCACCCTTTTTAGTTGCTCTACGGAATTTCAATCCCTTTTTTTGCAAAGGGAGGAGTAAAATACGACAAATCCAATCAATTATCATTTCCATTGGTGCTGCAAGGAACCGGAACAATTGTATTATCCTTTTCAATTGATAGGCTACCTGTTGCAGTCTGTAGAACAAAAAGTAATCGTCCATATCATGGCTTGAATCTTGCTTTAGTCTTCTGGAGAGGTCGATGAGACGAAGACAAAGATTGTTAAAAAACTCAGTTTGTTTGTAGCGAAACAACACCTGTGCAAGTGCTTATATTATCTGGCTAGTGGACATTACGGTGATGGTGCATCATGGGATGGATGCAGTAGTGTGACCGACTTGGTTGCTTTTCAAACTTGATACTGAAACTTGATCGGTGCAGAGTTCGCAGAAACATAGACGGGTGTCTGATATTTGCAGGAAATTTGACCGGTTGATCAATTCGTATAAAATTTCGATCGTATGCAATGTTGAGATCAAGTTTATTCGCCAATAAGTAGCAATAGTTGTAAAGAAAAATACAGGTTTCGAAAATCATTGTGAATAAGATAAATATAGGTCAGTGAAATATAGGAAAGTGAAATAAAGTTTGTACTGTTGGTCTGACCTTAATATTGCCCCACCTGCAAACTCTTCCTATTTTTAAGTCACACGATTGATATCAAACCAAATATTGAACTCCGTTCACATGTTTCGGGCGTGAAGTAGTTATCAGCCATGAGCTTTTTATGTTACGGCGAGTCTTTGAGCGCGTGAGCGACGGGTATCGAGAATGAGAGAATATTTTTTGTATCATGGGCATTCTGGTCGACGGTTTCTCATGTAATACGCGAAAATTGCAAACCCTATATCATTTTTCTTTAATAGTTCCGCAAGGGCAAGTCCAACTTTGACTTGTTCTTCCTTAAAGGAACTTGTCATCGAACACGTCATGCGAGCCGAAAAGAAAGGCTATGACTAACCCAACCAAGTTGTACGAGGGACCGGGCAATGCTACTTGTGTAATGACAGTGATATTTCACTGATATTTTTTCCACATGTCTACATATCAACGAATCATGATTGGCAGAATGTTATTTGATTTCAATTATGCTGATCTGGAAACAATAGTATTTCTTGAGTAAATAATTTTATGGCCTCGAAAGGTCGGACTTCTTGGAGAGGATATGAGATTTGGATTAGTCTGGTTGGTGAGTCCCCGCCCACTTCCGGTATGTCAGTAATGAGGACATTTCCTAGTATATCCTATGACGTACTGATTAACAATGCACAAGCTGCAACCCAAGTCCCTTTCGAGCACTATAACTAATGAGTATTGAGAATCCAACATTTTCCCGCATACTTCCTTGTTTATTGCTACGCTGGAAATCGTGGTAAAAAGAGATCTGGATGAGTTAAAGTTATGGAGTGGTTCTCAATGATATGGTTTTCGTTTCTGCTCGTTAATGTTCAGCTTCTTGTCCGGAAAGCAGGCGAGTATCTTTTCTTAATTTTAATAACCTTTGTACTGTTTGAGGAGGTAATGTTTTGGGAGTTGGCGAGTCAACGAATTTTTGACAGCGTCCGTTCACAGCTAAAACTACTTTTTGTGAACTGCCATACAGTTTGTGTAGTTGCATATTGCTCGCAAATCCCTCCGAAAAAAGTGATGAATTAAAATGTACGTTTGAATTGCTGTTAGTGATAAGTACGTGTCAAGTAAGACGAATTTGTGAACACCAGCAGATCTAGAAATATCAAGGTGATGTTTACAAGATTCAAGGGAACTGTAAGCGTAAGTTTGATTATGGCGCATGAAATTCATCGATGCTTTAAATGTTTTTAATAAATGTGGCATTCGATCGATCGATCGCTCATTATTTGAACGATATCGAAGCACCAACCAAAAATACCATGGAACTTACTACTGCCTACTAAGTTGGTTAAAATTTTCAGGATTTTGATGATTAGTTCTTATCCTATAATACTATGACTATATCCCGTATTTGCTTTGAACCAATTTACTTCAAAACTTTGCTTCGTCCCTAAGGTGAGAGTCGAGTCGACTGCGTTAATAAACGAAAACAAATGCAATTTTTTCCTCACAGTCTTTATCAGAAATGATCTGTTTTATCTTTTCTCATCCAGCCCTTTAAGTTTAATTGTACTTTTAGTGTAAGTCGTCTAGTTTGAAAGAATTATATTCATGAGTCAAAACTTGCCAGAGACAAGATGAAATTTGATTCGTTCATGTACATGTACATGTGGTGTTTCGGTTTAGTGGTGGGCTTTGAATATTGATACGACCGTGCTTATACTTATGCTGTTTCCCATTCGTTACTCAATGTAAAAAACTATCATTTGCGTTTCTTTTGTTGTTATGCTTTATTTCTTCTAGCACTAATTTTATTTTTACCTCAGGAAAACTGTCTTCAGCAACATCTAGGTGCAATTTTTTACTCTCTGCACTCAATAATAAACATTATCAAGCTTTGTGCAAATATGGCAATGAGAATCAATTGAATTGGTAACTCACTTTCACTTTTAGAGGCAACTTATTTTTCCTGACATTTGCTCCCACACCCTACAGTCTGTGCCAGCTTACACTGTAATAATGATAATAATAACATTTTCATAGTCCCGAATTTATGGTGTTTAGGTCTCGATGTTCTATGTTACAAATTTGTTACTTGCATGTATTTGAGTAGCTAAGGGTGGCTAAATTATGTCATGACCCTATAAATACTTTCAGCCACAGCACAGATAATGGAAGAACAAATTTTATGTAGTAAATTTACTCTTCCAGCCACTTTCTTACAAGTTTTGTTGAAGTGTGTTTCAAAATTTAATGTAGTATGTAAATGAACACCCAAATATTTGTAACTTGAGCTATTTAAAGATAGCCCATTGATCCTCAGGTATAGCTGTCTCCCCTGTGGTTGGTTTGACCATTTCACAGTTCAGAAAATCATTAACTCTGTATTTCCCTTTTTGAGACTGATGATCAGTTCATTCTTGTGGAACCAAGTTGACAGATTGTTGATGTCATTATTAGGATTCCTTTCAATATTGTCAAAGTGACTTGAAGAGGTAAAGATAACTGTATCATTGGCATATGCAATAATTCTAGATGACTGAAGGGGCTTATTTGCATTTTTAAAATGGAAAATGAATAACAATGGACCAAGGATGCTGCCTTGTGAAACCCCGGTAGAAATGGGGTTGGGTTCTGAAAGAACACCATTGCTTTGAACAATTTTCTTTCGTAAAAGAAATAATCCATAAACCATTTCAGGGCAGTGTCACAAATGCCATGAAAAGGAAGTTTGCAGGGTAGGCTAGAGTGGCTAAATCAATAAGTGATTTTGTTTTCAATGAACAGGCACTTGTGATATACTGAAACTTCATTGTTTTTTCCTTGTAAGAATATGTCAGATAGTGGGCTTTCAAAAGTTATAGTTAACTTTCACTTGCATACACTTACCTAATTTACCTGTGTTTAATACACACTTTATTTCTTAAAAAATTACCATCAAAATTGCGGTGCATATTTAAATAATATAATAATAATAATATTTATTGATTTGTATTGCACAATTATAAATCCAGAGTAAAAAAAATTTCATCTGCGCATTACATCGACTCAACAAAATCTGGAAATCCTAAACATATTCCAATTAACAAAAAGTCTTATTTACAATAACTAATTAATCTTTAAAGTCCTATATACAAATCCTTCTTTATGAAAAGAATAAAAACAATAAATTAGCTAGGAAACACCTTCTGGAATAAATGAGTTTTAAGAGCCTTCTTGAAAGCATTAACTGAAGATATATTTCTAATAAAAAGGGGAAGATTGTTCCATAATTTAGGGGCAGCTGTATAAAAAGATAGATCAGCAAGCATGGAAAGAGACTTGCATGGTGGAATGTTAAGAAGTTCACCATCATTTGATCTAAGATAGTACCTACCCCCTGTGTCTTTCAGAGATACAAGATCGGAAATGTAAGTCGGAGCAAGTTTACGAATGGCCTTAAAAGTTAACAATAAAATTTTAAAAACAATTCGATATGCAATGGCTAACCAGTGTAGGGCTCTCAGCAATGGTGTGATTTGACAAAATTTACTTTCTTCAAATACAAGACGTGCAGCAGAGTTCTGGACTCTTTGCAGTTTTTGAATCTGATACACTGGTAAGCCGTATAAGAGGCTATTACAATAGTCAAGGCGGCTAGAAATAAAGGCATGAGTTTCAGCACATTTTTGCTAAGGTGCTTCCTTATCCCCCTGATATTATACAAATAATAGAATGCTGCAGAGCTTGTTTTCGTTTTGTGATCACCCATTGATAGGTTAGAATCTAACCACACACCCAGATTCCGAACGGGAGATTGTGGAGTAATGACAGAATGTCCAACAGTTATGCCATCAATTGTAATTTTAGTAAGTTGCTGTCTGGTGCCGATCAAAAGAAGTTCAGTTTTGGCATCATTCACAAGTAACCTGTCTTGAGACGTCCACTGCCAGATGTCCTGAATGCAATGTTACATGATTCCATTGTTTGGCACATACATCCTAATTTGCATACATCAAAAACACCCTAAAAAAAAGGAACACATCTAAAGCTTTGATCAAATACCTTTTTTTTTAATGAGAAATTATAGGTGCAAATTAAGTTTTTACTCTAAAATCAAGAGGAAAGACAAAAATCACTAAATATTTTTGTAAGTGTGCAAACAGGTTTGTGGATCAGATTTCAAAGTGAATATCACTAATTAGTATAATTTCAGAGCTGAGCAAAGAGTTTTCAGCAATCTGATTGGTCGAGCGGTTCCTTATATGATGCTATATAAACTGCTCCACGCGGTTTAAATAAAATGTTAATAAATGTTACTAAAATGCTATGATTTTAGAAATTTCTCTGTTGTTCAACTCTGAAATTATACTAAAACAATTATTTGGCTCAGGTTAAGTGAATATTGTCGAATAATCCCCTTAACTTCGTCTCAGGGATTATTCGACGATATTCACCTCGCCTTCGGTGAATAATTGTTAAATATAACAAAAATCTAACAAAAATCACTAAATATTTTTGTAAGTGTGCAAACAGGTATGTGGATCAGATTTCAAAGTGAATATGCAAATTTGGCCATGTGTGAAGAGATCTTGTGTTACATGGAATTTTTCAGTGAGAAGCAAGAAGAAAGTGAGCGAGAAATACTTCAGGACAAAAGCTTTATTTAAAGCAGTTCTTGATTTGCTGTTGTAAGCAAAACACGCGTAAATTCCCTACGTGTACAAAGCACATGCAGTGGAATTTATTGTGGTTATATTGTTGTTTACTTGACTTTATGGCCAGAAAATTGCACAGGGTTAGATTGAAAATTCTAAATTTATGACGATATGACACAAAATCTTCAATACTTTGCGGACATATTGTTACTCACTCATAATATTTACCTAGTAGGCCTCGCATGAAGTCCTTAAGTTTGATTTCAACAATGTCATAAATTACTAAGTAGCATTGTAAGATATAAGTGTTAATGATATTGTAAATTTCTTATTCTTGTTGTCTTAATGAATAATTGTATGAAGATTTAACTGGTTTTTTTTTGCTGTGAAAAACTTTTTTTCTGATTAAATTTGGTTAAAAACAGGGGTGCGCATTATACATTGGCGTGTATCATACACAGGTAAATATGGTAATTATTCTTAATTACTTCTCATTTAAACCTGAAATTTTGCTCTGAAAGCAAGGCCCTGGGCTGGAAATGTTCATAAGTGTAATATTCTTGTTCTAAAAGCACGATTTGAGTTTTAAAGAAAGAAAATGAACAAAACAGAGAACATGCAAGCTGATACCAAAATGAGCAACACTGTGCAATATCATACAAACAAAAACTTTACATAAATGTCATAATTTTTCCTCTAATTTGAACTTTTAAGAAATGTGTACACTTTAGATACTTTATTAATTTGATGTACAGCTGTAGTTTGAGGCCCATGCCCAGAGTTCATTTGGCTGGAATTGTGATTACTTAGAAGAATTAAGGAGCTACATGAATAGGGGAATGGATTTCTGCTTTCATGTGGACAGAAGACTTCAAACCTTTTTAAAAATTGGAGTTCTTTTTCTTACATGTAGAATCCTTACTTTGCATCAAAACCAAACCCATATTCCTTCACTGAGGCTTATTTTTTTTTTTCCGTTGGTATGCATAATTCTGTATGTTATTGCTGCTGATTTCATGTACAAGTACATAACAAGGTCATAACAAGGTACACAAGTCATGTAGTTTTGTGCTAACATTGATTATGATGACCAGGTTAAAATTCTCTCCATTGAGATGTATTTAAAATTTAAGCTGAGACTGTATGATATGTTTCCATCTTTTTATGGGTGCTCTTATAAACTCATTCCTTCAGCTGAGGAGAGGGAGAACTTATTTAATTGTTGAAGCCATGCTCTCAGGATCACACAGCTCTCATGATC